TCGTAATAATACTGAGCCTTTCTTCTCCTGTTACACTGGGCCAAATGGGACACTGAGTGACATGCAGCTTCCTTGAGAAGATGCAAGGCAGAGCCACCAGCTGCACCCATCCTGCATCCTGCAGGCCCCACTCCTGACCACCCCAGGCCCACAGCATGTAAGGAAACAGAGGCGGTTCCGACCTAAGCTGGGGTAGATGACACCATGAGAACCACTTGGTTTACTGAGAGCCAGCTCAGGGCTTGTGGGCAGCGTATGGCCTCGCCTGGGCTACCCATCCAGACACAGTGGCTGGACGCACACCTTGGCCCGCCTCACTCACTGAAGAGCTGCTCCATCATGGGGCACCATCCTCCAGCTAACAAAGACTACCTAAAAACTACGATTAGTCTCACTTGAGTATTTACTACTATTACATTTTAAAGATACTTATAAAAATATTTATGTTTATGTATACAGTATTCTGGTTGCACATACGCCTGCAGGCCAGAAGAGGGCGCAAGATCTCATTATAGATGGTTGTGAGCCACCATGTGGTTGCTGGGAATTGAACTCAGGACCTCTTGCTCTCTGAGCCATCTCTCCAGCCCCTTGCTTGAGTATTTAATTGGCAGACATTTATGGAGGATGGGGTGGGGCGAGGATGAACAAAGTGGGCTGTTCCTTCAAGGAAAACAACCAATAGCATTTGTTACCCAAACAAAGATCTCAGCCATCAAGCGAAAACTGGGGTTTTGAAGGACTGACAGTCACCACCAAGAAGCTCATACCTTGTCCACATTGTCACAGCTTGTCTGGGAAGATTGGTGGCGACATCAACTAGTGCGTTTTGACAGGATATAATGAGGTACGGAAACGCTCAAATGATCTAGCTGACTCCATTGAACCAGTGTTCTTCAAACAGCCAGTGCATGACAGCTCCGCTCGCTCAAAACAGCAAGACAGACAGACGGACCAGAAAGGAACAGAACTGAAGAGCTCACTTCAGAGTCTACACTGCAGCTAACCTCCCAGGTGAGGCAACCTCCAGGGTCTAGATTAGAACCAGAGGAGATCTGTGATTATCTTCACCGGTTACTCACTAGGGGCTCCTGCCCTTCTGAACCACATAGCTGTGTGAGGCTGGTGCTTCAGCATCCGACCAGGACCTAATAAACTGGAGGCAGAAGCAGGCGCACAGGGAGCTGTGCTCTATTAGGACCAGACACAACAGAGATCTGCAAAAATGTAAAACAAGGCCATCCTTACCACCAAATGTGTTTTGAGAAAAGACTATCTTTCCCAACACATGCACTCTATCTTTACGAATAATAGGCTTATTGTTCGTTTTAAATGAGTGCACTAAATGAACACAAAGTGGCGTGAAATACAATAAAATAAACATTTAAAATATCTCCCGCTCTTGGCTGGGGAGATGCCTCCGAGGTTATTCCCAGAACTCATATAACAGCTGTGTATACCTGGCAGCCCGCCTGTATTCCCTGGAGCAAGCTGGCTATTCAGGCTAGCCAAAATAGTTCACCAAGAGACCGTACTTCAACATATAAGGTGTAGAGAAATCTAGGAAGACAATCACCATTAATCCCGAGTACCCACAAATGCACACACACACACACACACACACACACACCAGCAGAGATGTGTACCCCAAGCGCATGGATATAAATATCATATCATGCATGTCACACACATATGTAAATAATTCTCCATTTTAATTTCCCACACAGTGAGTATAGTTATAACCAAAGAATTTTTAAAAGGCTTCTCAACCATTTTTAACAATGGGAAAAAGTCTTGAGACCAGAGCTTAGGAATTTTTCTCCACAGTTACAGTAAGTTGTGAGCTGCCTGGTGTGAATTCTGGGAACCGAACCCAGGGCCTCTGGGAGAGCAAGTGCTCTTAGCCACTGGTCCATCTCTCCAGCCTCTGGGTTTTTATCTTATCAGGAATTCTTGGGAGAAAATACCGCAGTTCTTCTCAGTTGTTCCTGCGTTGTTCCAGCGTTGCTCCTGACCCCTCTTCTCCTCCCACCTCATATCCGGTCCACCAGGACATCCAGCTCCACCTTCATATTTCATCCAATCCCTTTCTTCCCCACTTCCCCTGCTATGGAGCGGCTCCAAACTCCCACCCATTACCAAACACTTGCACGGCCCCCCAATTGCGCTCCTCCTTCTTGCCCTTTCCCTATCTGTCTATGAAAGTGAACCGCAGACAGCTTCCAGTCTCGTTCTGATGTGCAGATCCTGTGTAGCCTGCCCAGCCGCCATCACCCTCGCCTCAACCCCAAAAGCAGCTCCTATGGCCTCCCTGTTATCCGCTACAGAAGAGGCTACTGACTTCACAGCAATCCCAGACACCCCACTGACTGCCCCTTCCACTCTAAAGACAAGTTCTTAGCCTGAGCTTCTTTACCCTAACATCTCCGAGCCCCATGCCTGGTGAGCCTTTTCCCCCTTAGCACAATCACAGTCTGGCAGAATTGACTTGGTTGTCTTTCTTTTTCATTGTCCCCTTCTCCCACCTCCAGAACAGAAGGCCCAGGGTGCTGTATCCTTAGCCCTTAGACCGTGGCTCGCAGTAGTGGTACAGTAGATAACACAAACCATGAAATGATTATGTTCTAACTACAAAGCTGTTTTAAACCAGAGCTGATTGGAAAAGCCCAAATGTCACAAGGACATTTTCTTATAAAGAAATTCAGGTTGGGTATCTGTTATTTGAAATACTTGAATGTTTCAGACTTCAGATTCTCCCACTCCCCCCAAGAAGGGTTTCTCTGTAGCTTTGGTGCCTGTCCTGGAACTAGCTCTTGTTAAACCAGGCTGGCCTCAAACTCACAGAGATCTGCCTGCCTCTGCCTCCCAAGTTCTGGGATTAAAGGTGTGAGCTACCACTGCCTGGCTCAGATTTCAGATTTAAAAAAAAAATCTGTATACACATACACAGACACATACAAAAATACATATGGAATGAGAGAGAGAGAGATCTTGGGAGTGCAATCCAGATCTAAACACGAAATTAATTTATGCTCCAAATATACTTTATATTCATGGAATGAAGATAACTTATGCAATAATTTTGTTCATGAAACAAAGCTGCATGGTTGGAAACTCCTAGTTGTGACTTCAAGTTGATACTCAAAAGAGTTACAGGATATGGCACACGCTGGGCTTCAGATAGATTTGGGACACTTTCCTGTCCCTTGCGAGGAGGTAAAGGAAGGAGATGGGCTCATGGGTTTAACACAGAATGATGTATAACCAACAAAGCTAGTCACAAAGAATTATTTGATGATATTTTATTCTGATGATAAATAAAGAAAACTCCTGAAAACCCAGTCTTGTTCTCTCAACAACAGGTGGTCTTTTCAGAATCTCCCAAGAACACTGTTCCCTCAGTTTTCCCCTTCCAGGGACTCTAGGGGTAGCCATGGCTTCCCCAAGTCCCTGCTTCCCTCTCCTGCTTCTTCAGTCTGAGCACACACACTGTCCCCAAGGGCTAAGACGTCTCCAACAGTCCTTAAAGTCCTGACAGCTGTTTGCTGACTCACTAAGACAAGCATCCTTCCTGACAAACTGTCAGTGTTATTCACAATGTCAATGCAAGTCCTTCCAAAGAAATTCTGATGTGGGTAAAACTTCAGGCCAAACCCAATTGTCTCCTACCACACAAGGCCATACAATACTCTAATAACAAAAGGTCTTTAGAGCTTCACCTTGCGGTACATGAACCAACATAAACACCTTGCTTCTTTATGTAGTCTAAATACAGTTCTCCTTTTCGAAGTTGAACTATAATGTACTATGTTGTTACATTTCATAGTAAAACTCCCATGTTTAGAAACAGAGCTATAGCCAAACGTCGCATTGTTGTAACACATTGTGACCACTAGAGGGAAGAGTTTAACAGCAAACAACTCCAAGGCTAAACTCCTTTAAAGTATCAAATACTCCATGGTATTGTGAGAACAAGATCTCCTAAGTAGACAGATCTAAGCCACAGAAGATGCCAGAACTACATCTCTAAAAACTTAGGACACCACTTCCTAAAAATGTGAGCATTTAGGGAAACAAGAAGTGACTCCTGTTTCCACATTGTGTGGCAGGTTAGCAAGAGAAGTCAGACCCAAATAGAGACACGGAAGAACTTCTGAGAATTCTTACAGACATAAGTTGTAGTTGCATAGGGAAACAAAGACCTTCGGAATGCTGGGAATGGGGCACACACCTGTAATCCCAGCACGTGAGAAAACCCAGGCAGAAGGATGACGGATTCGGGTAGCCTGGGCTACATGGTGAGACCCTGTTTCAATCTCCATTCAAACGCTCCTGTACTCAGTTGGGTGGCACTCGGGCACCAGCTAGGTATTAAGAGCACAAGTGAGTCCCCTAGCCGCCAAGCTGGCTGGCTGAAAGCGTACCACCACATAGGAGAAGCGCTTGGAGGGAGATCCAAGGGTGACCCTCGAGGTTACTGTCAAGAGTGGGGGAAGGCCTGAGTCAGGGATGAGCCCTGTGCCCAGGGAGCTGGAACAGAAGCTGCTATCATGTGCTATGGGCACCAAGCACACCCCAGGTTCTCTGCAAGGAACTTTGTATTAACTCACTCAACCCTCGGATTCCTTCATTCATGGTCGAGGAAACCTGGCTCCTGAGTTTAGTGAATGCCGAGAACCAGTTTGGCACGCGTATTTGTTTACCAGCATCGCTGTGACCAACGTGCACAGACCCAGCGGCTTTAAAATGAAGCTAGGTGTGGGAGTGCATGCCTGTAATCCCAGCACTCGGGAGCTGAGGCTGAAGCTAGCCTCAGCTACATGCTGAATTCAGAGCCAGCCTTGGGTACACAGCAAAACCCTGCTTCAGATAAAAGTGTCCTTTCGAGGTTTCCAGAGATCAGCTGGCCACACCCACCCTAAAGCTCCAGGAAAACACAAGAATGGTGCTTGCTCAAAGAGCTCCTAACTGAAGCCAGCCCCCAACATTCTTTGCACCCCCAGGGGAGAGCGCAAGGCGTTCAGGCCCTCACTACCACAAAGTGTGCTGTTCTGCATCTGAGGAGGTCACAGGGGTAAGCAAATCCCAAGTACAACGGAGGAACTTCCCCTGGGAAACCATCTCCTTGATCATCATCTGCGCCTACCAGGGAGCACTCCACGGTGTTTTTGAGGCAGGGATTCTCACCGAACCTGGAGCTCACTATTTGGTTAAGCCGGCTGGGCAGTGAGCTCCAGAGATTGGCCTGCTTCCGCCTCTTCAAGTGCCTGCTGAGTATCCAAACTTGGGCCTTCACACTTATGTAGCGAGTGCTTTACCCACTGAGCCATCTCTCCAGCCTGTACGATGTCATCTTAATTTAGTCACTTGATTGCGAAAAGAGACTGTTACCAAATAAGGTGTCACTCACAAATACTGAGGTTAGAATTCCAATCTGTCTCTTTTTGGAGGATCTTCTCCTGACTTGCTTATAGCTGCAAAACTATTTGTAAAAAAGGTCACATGTCCAAATACTAGAAGTTACATTTCCAATATATATTACCAGTGGACACGGTGTAACACACAATGAAATCATAGTATCATCAGCTTCAAGCCACTCAGCTGTTCTGCCTCAGAACCTTATAGGCCAAGGGAAAGGAGCAGGAAGGACAGGATGGTGGAGCTTAGGGTCTAAGGGACATGGCAGGACACGAGGTGAGACGCAGACAGGCTCCCTGGGATTTTAGGTCCAGTCACGGAGCTGATTCTAAAAGAAGCCGCATTTCTGGTTCATGTTTGCTCATCAGTTTTTCAGTGACTTCTCTTTCTCAGGGTCTAAGTCAGCAGTTCTCAACCTGTGGGTCGCGACCCTGTAGATGGAATGGCCCTTCCACAGGGGTCACTGAAAGACCATCTGAAAACACAGATATTTACATTATGATTGATAACAGCAGGAAAATTATAACCATGACATAGGAACAAAATAATTTTAAGGTTGGGAGGATCACCACAACATGAGGAACTGTACTAAAGGGTTGCAGCATTAGGAAGGCTGATGACCACTGGTATAAGAGACTTAGGAAAGCCTCCAGGAAGGGCGTGTCTCGGCTTCGAGGCTGAAGTTTGTAACATGAAATATAATTCCCAGGAAATCCACACTTGATTTATTCCACTCACCAGTCAAACTGGACTCTCGGGCTCTCCTAGCAGAGCCGCACCCGACCTGCGGGGCCATCTGGACAAGCCCCAGTCAAAGCCACCAGGCTTTGAGCACCGGGATGTCCCTACACACCGCTGCATGCAGAGGGAATGGAGCCGAGCAGCAGAGCTAGGCTGCTGGGAACCAGCGTGTCTGCCTGCCCCACGAGCTGCATTCCTCCGAAGGTTGCGTGGTGTTTCAGCACCACTGCATTTGTGATGGTGTGAGATCACAGGCCTCGCATAAGGACTCAGCTGGGTCAGGAGGCACCAGATAAGGGTGATGTCAGTGATAGGAAGTTGCACAATGGTAATGTCAGCATGAGGCGACAGAACTTTCTGTTGGGAGCCTGCAACACATCATTGGCCCTTATGAATATATACTGCCATGTGAATTTTGTATCATTTTGCCACTCTTTTTAAATTAGGAAATAAAGACATTTACAGGCTAAAGTTCATGTTTTGCCCATGAAAAACAGGGGATGGGCCAGATTTGGCCCTGAATAGGAGCTTCCCCAACCCCTGGTTTTAAACAGTCCCTAAATGCTCATGGGTTGATTTACCACGGTGGTAGCAAGGTCTCTGTGTGGGACTCCCTTCCTGCTCACGAAGCTGCCTGGCCTCTGGCCAGATCCCAGACCTCAAGTGAACTTGAGCTGCCCCCAGCTTCCTCTCTCTCACCTGCTCCATTCAAGCCCTGCCAGGATCTGTTGGCTCGCTGCATAAAATGGCTCCTAATTCCCCCTCTAAAAGGCCTCGGGCAACACCTGGCCTGGCAACACCTGGCCTGGCCTGCCCACTGTCACCCTCTTAGGTAAGCAGGCTTCGCGTAACCTCCCCCTCACCTGGTCCCTCTTGCCTGAGGGTTGTGAATACCTGGTAGAGGCTCAGAAGGCACCTGCTGCATGAACCTCTCTGGTGAAACCCAATCCGAAGGGTTCTCTCCACCTGTGTGTGTGTGTGTGGGGGGGGGGGTGATGGGGGGATGGGGGCATAGGGGGATGGGGAGGTTTGTCCCCACAGAATCAGCCTGTCTCAAACTGGAAACTTGCCCCCCCCACGGGGGAGGGGCAGTCCCCAAAGATTAAAAGAGGAGATTTTCACTTCCATGTTCAAAAGCCAGGCTTAGTAAGTCTTATTTGCATTCAGTAAGTGTTAGCCTTTTTAGTACAGTTCTGTGAGCGTTGACAAGTGACCAGTCGGGTAGTTATTTCTAGCATCGAAGACTTGTTCATTCCCCCATCATTCCCCCAAGGTCCCCTTTTAAAGATACCCTCTCTCATCCCTTGTCAATCACAAACTCCTTTTCTGTCTCTACAGATATGGTTCTAACTGACGGACTTTTAAAGATTAAAAACGTGGTTTTTTTTTTTAAATCATGTGTGTACGTGTCTGTGTGTGTGTGTGGGGGGGTGCAGAGCCCATGGAAGACTACGTGTGTCAGATCCTCTGAAACGGGAGTTACGGGTGGTTGTTTAACCCCCCCCCCCACGTGGATGCTGGGACTAGAGGACCTCTCTAAGAAGCTGTGCATGCCCCCCCACGTGGATGCTGGGACTAGAGGACCTCTCTAAGAAGCTGTGCATGCCCCCCCACGTGGATGCTGGGACTAGAGGACCTCTCTAAGAAGCTGTGCATGCCCCCCCACGTGGATGCTGGGACTAGAGGACCTCTCTAAGAAGCTGTGCATGCCCCCCCACGTGGATGCTGGGACTAGAGGACCTCTCTAAGAAGCTGTGCATGCCCCCCCCCCCCCCACGTGGATGCTGGGACTAGAGGACCTCTCTAAGAAGCTGTGCATGCCCTCAATCACGGAGCTACCTCTCCAGTCCTTCTGGTAGCCTTTGAGACATTTTTCATGAGGCATACTGCCCTTTTGGCGCACTAGGGGTTGTGTCCATTTCTTTCTCTAGTCAAAGAGTATGTCACTGCATGGGTCTCCAGCGACTGAAGTAGACACTCAGGCTGTCTCCAGTTTTTGTCACTGGAGAACAATGTCACATATAAGCACATACACGGAGACTTTCCTATGGACACAAATTCTTGTTATAAGATTTTGCTTTTTATTTTTTAAGGTGGCCATACTTCTGTAAACCTGAAGGATAGGATTCTGCTGGAGGAGGAACTGTTTTCTACCCTGCTTGTCTGTCTTCCTACCCAGCGGCTACAATTTTCTAAACTGTAGTAACACTAACCTTCCTAAGAATAGCGAGCGACACAGCGTGCACTGGGGGCAGAGTGGGCGAAGCTGAATGCGGGCCCAGAGTGAGCCTGGACTGTTTCACACTGGCTGCGGGCACCGGTTTGATCTGGTCTCACAGGGGATAGCACGGGCTCTGTGGATGTGCACACTCAGGCAAAAAACCTGCCGAGCCAGCCAGTAGGGCCATTCTCTGGTTCGGATAACTTGTTAAAATCTCACGGAATGTACAGCGAGCCATTGTTTCTCTAAGTCCCTTTCATGACTTCGTGAGCTGGCTAATTCAGAGCAGACTCGCCTGCTTTCCTGCCGGAAGAAAAGACTCCCCTCAAAGACAGCTATTTAGCCGTGACCATGGCTGCAGCCATATAGAGCACAAAAGGGGAGGCTGAGGCCCTGCTGCCCCCTCTTCTACCAAGGCCTCCCACGGCCACGCTGCTTATTCTTGGTGCAGGAATTCGCATAATTATTTCTCTTTTCATCTGCTGGGTGACCTAAGGTATCCCAAGCCGACTGCAGGAAATGGCCTCACAGAGATCTGAGCCCCTGGCAGACTAATTTCTATAGACTTATAAGACCCTCTGGGAACGGCATTAACCCCACAAAGGATGGCTTTCTAAGCCCCCTTAGGACTCCCCTAGGCCCCAGAGGAAGAAGTAGAAGAGCCCTGGGCCCTGTTCAGCACAATAGCTCCAATGTTGTGACCTTCCTTCTAACCTGCAATGCAGGCTTGAAAACTGCAACCTTTATTAATGCTCACAAGTAGGCAACAAGAATCCAGCGAGGCTGACGATAGGAACGAAGCCAGAACAAAGGCTCTGCCCCCTCGTAACACTTCCTTCCGTGCTCCCTGGAGAGCAAGCCTTCAGTCTGCTGGCCGCATGGGGCAGTGCGCATCCGCTCATCGGAGGACACTTGCCTCTTCGCTCCTCACTTGAAAATGCAGGCGGCCCATGCTTCCGGCTCCACCAGGCTTTCTAATTTATCTTTCGTAAAAGCAATTTATTTCAAGATGGAAAATCTATAATAAACATTTTTTCCTGGAAGAAAATCACCTAGCCATGTCCTTGCCAGTCACATCCCTCCTCAACTTTCAAACGTGCCCAGAAAATAGATTTCACTAAAGTAAGGGTGGGCCACCCGTGTGAAGAGGCTCCGGGGAGTCTTCAGCATAAGGAAGATGAGCTTGCCTCGAAAGCTCAGGGAACATCTCGGAAGAGGGGGTGGAAGGAGATGGGCCAGAGGACCAGGAAGTTTGCTGGGAGATTGTTTCCTAGAAATCACAGGAACACTCGTCCAGGACAATTCTGAAACATAGCTGCCTAATCATGATCCAAGCAATGATGACATCGCTAGACATGCCAGTGAGGAAGGGGGACATCTCAGGGGCCCCAGGCCTACACATAGAACTATAGGCGATTCATAACTGCTCAGAGAGAAAGAATCAGCCTCTCCCAGGGATGAGGCCCCCTAATTGGTTATCCAATACCAAGTGGTCAGTCCTGAAACCATACACAAACAAGCCATGCTGAACAAACCCAGAAGGCTATATTTATAGATTTATGCATATGTGTTTAGCAGTAATAATCAAAAAGAGGCCGTCAGTTTGAGAGAGAGTTGGGGGACGGGTGAGAAAGAGAACAGGAAAGGAAGTGATGTGTGATTACATATTAGTTAAAATTTTAATTATAAAAAGGAGATGAACTAAAGAAAATAGACTGTAAATATACATGCCCGTGGAATTCAGTAAAAGCAGATGCCTAACTGTTAAATCTGAAC